ATTATGTAAACACTTTGCCTGACTTACTTAATAATCCTAAGTAAATCAATTGCCTTTAGTTTTAAGTAATTAGATAAGAATTCTGTTGGAAATTATTTACTTCACAGACTAAAATAACTTATTGGTAATAAACTGTTCAATATATGATACATTTGTACTATAAAAGGATACCAAAGTCAATCACAATAGCATGCTTAGATCACTATGTCAATAATGTGGTTATTTTTCAAGTTTTAGAATACTATGAAACACTACGATTGAATAAAGTCCCAATAGGTTAATCTATTCATATTATTAAGTACTATAACTGATTCTATGACCATCGATAAAAAGAGGAACAATGCATACCAACATTTGTTATAGTTATAATATAACTGAGCTGCTATCCTGATCAAAATCCTGGGTCAAACTTGTGTAAACTAATATGTAACTAAGCTCACATGAGCACTATGAAATACAATACAATATTATGCTAGTTCAATTGGCTCACATGGTTTCTATGGTTATATAGGATACAATATGATACCTTAAACAAATGAGATCCTCTATGTGTGCTGACATAGAATGGAAAGCTATAATTTCTTCTTTTGCCTAATGAGTATCGAGTACTTTTTGATAATTCTAAAGATCCACAGAACTAAAATGAAGAAAGAAAGGATCAAATAAGAATAAGATACACAATCTAGCACCTTAATATGCATGATTGAATAAATGAGAAATAATTGAAAAAGAAAATGAATAAATGGATGGATAAACAGAAATGTGGGAAAATGGATAAATAGATGGAAGAAATGATAGTGTAAACAAAAGATTTAAAAAATGGATATAGAAATATAATGAAAAATGAATAGACAACCGAATATTATATTTGACATCACTCAGCTATTCCCTACCCATCCCCCCTGAAGGCAAAATGGTGAGAAAATTTTTCCCTACGGGAGGGTGGGATGGGAAGTACATGTAACAAACACAGTTCTTTACAAAATATGACTTACGCTATTTCTATCGCCAACATTTTTACATGAGTAGAATAGCATCCAAGATCCACGGATCACAACCCAGTAATCAACCCACTGTAGAAATAAAACAAATTCTTAACAAAAGGCTTGTTGGCATTCAAACATTGTAAGAGAAAATCTGATATCAGGTTTTCGCTATTTACAAGGTTTAATAGCTTGTTAATCACTCAAAAACCTGAAGGAAAAGGTTAAAAATTCAATTTGTCTTGTAGCTTAAAGTCAGAGCTGTCAAGAAATGTTTGTTTTGTTTGGTTTTTGTTACCATGCAAAGTAAACATACTTTGTTGCTATGTAAACATAGCACTACACTGTGAATTTATAATCTTATAAATTTAGAATKTACATAATGTTGTTTAGTGATTGCTTATGATGCAATATTTTTGAAATAAAAGCAARAATAATTAATGACTGTTTGCAACAATTCATGCGAATAAATCACCAAAATATTAAAAAATACAAGTACCTTTCCCATCAAGATATTGGGTTATTCTAATTCTCTATGAATCATAATCAAGGTTAGAATTAATGCTCCTTGTTTRTTTGTARCATTTTGAAAAGGGGGATAAAAAGGTTAAGTGGGAAAGCCATTTTAATGTCAAGCATTTGGGAAAAAAAACATTTTAATTAAAAATCCTTTTACCTTTCCTTTTCCTTCTTTCTTAGAGAGATAATCCTCATAATACTTGGCTGGATCGTCCATCATTATCTAAACGAAAAAATACACAAAAAATTAGAGGTTTATAAACAATATAAGAAAAATTATCGTACCTTCACAAAGTGTACATATTTCGTTGCCTTGGAGACGTTATATAACTTTTATATAAAATTTGCATACAGACTTACGAGGAAGTAATTTCGACAATAAAATGTCCAAAACACAAAAACATTAACACAAAATATCACTTTTAATCTTTATTAGAAGTTAATTTTTATGAGGACCAACCAAATCACAATTTTGAAAATTTGAATGGTGAACGTATCATGTCGAGAGAATAGAAAAAGCAAGCTTTTACTTATAAGTAGCTCTATTGACGTAGAATTACAATCTAAAATATCACCTAAAACCAGTTTACTCTCTATCATAAACGAAGAAACTTTCTTATTGGTTGTATGTTAAGACATAAGATCGTAGTTTGTTTTGGGGAACTCTATCTTGTGTAAACGCGGTTCCGTCACCAACAGCTATATTAAGCCAAGTAATTCACTTGAATTATTCGCAACCTGTTCGCTTAATGTATAAACTCATACCTTTCCTGAACACAAAAAGTACTCTTAACTCTGTAGAAACCTTCAGTAGYCAGTTGTATGACCTTTAACGTATTTGCAGTTTTATCAATGAACGGGTCGAGCAGTGGGCACCACACTCGAAGGCGAAATAGTTAGTCTCTGTATAAAAGCACACTGTTTATCGCTGGCAGCTTTTCCCATGAAGTAAGAAGATATTTTGAATACCAGAATTCTTGATTAAGAACTGATCCACACAGAGTAAATTCAATACTACTCCAAATGTATCTGATTTCAATAAAGTTTGAAGAGCTACTGTTCTTCGTCGCATGGAGGAACAGACGAATTGCTCCCAAAACCTTTTGAGCTAAACCGTCCAAATTCTTTCWAAAGCTTGAATCACAGTTGTCTTATCTTCTGTTGTTATGAGTTAGCCGGAAAGTCTATAGTTTATCTGCATTCTCATTAACCCGTATTTACAAATGTCACAGCCCTGTGCTTGCTGTTGTTGAATGATTGTGAACTGACCCGTTATGTATGACGTCATACTAACAAACAAAAACATCTATAATATTAGAAAAGGGGGAAGAAAAAAAAAAAGACAAAGAACTTCAATCTACGTATCCAGTTTCTATTGATATTCTAYATTGTACATCCGGAGTACTCAGATTTTTTCTCCAAATAGGGTTTAGTCAGTCAACAATTGTGCATTGTGGCGTTTTTACCCCCGAGTGCATGGAATTTGTGCACAAGCTCTTGCCATATTCAGACTTATYAAAAAAACACTAGCATGCGCTGAGGCTTTTTATGCGTTTTTTGATGTTTTTGTTTGCTTTAAGTCATATGATTAGATTACCTTATGGCCCTCTTTGGATTCTCAACCCCCTCTCCAATTATTATTGACATTATTGCATATAACAATAATAAATGTCTCAGGTCAGTACTGCGTATAGCCCACAGAGCCTGGTGGCCAGTGCTAATATCTGTATGAGAATAAAAGGTTGCTGCCTTTGATACATAATCTATTGACCAAAAGGTTAACAATTAATTGGCCATTCATCACTCTGTACCATGGCATTTCATTTTAGGAATACTGATTGACAAGTCACAGCATTTGATAGGATSCTGATATGCCCATTGAAAACTTGACTCTATTTCTCAACCCCCCCCCCTCCCCCATATGATTTGTGTTTGGGAGGAAGGTAGGGAGGGGGGAGAGGGTCAGCCAACTCTTTGTCAGATAAAACTAAGTAATGTCTTTGAATATTTTAATATCAAGTATTATGTTTCATAAAGATTATTGAAAAATCAAGATAGCACAAAGCACAGGCAGCCCAGCAATACAATAAGATAAATTTATACTAAAAATCTCAATACTCTCCCTTTCTGATCATATTTTCTCACAAGATCTCCTTTCTTGAGAAAATAGTTTTTTCATTCAGGAACACGTTCAATTGTGATGAGTAATCAAAACATAAAACATTAATATAATACTGACTATTATCTCATCAATTTGCAAAAATAAACACAAGARATCTTCTAGGTTAAACTATTTGTTAAAATATAATAATTCCATATATAATAATTCCTTGATTTGCCTACGTAAGTATAATATTATATAGATACGGTAGTTTTATACTATATATATGAAACTCTGATTAAATTAATAATAATACTAGTAAAATATACCACAAAATCATAAGAAATTAGAATTAATCCAGAAATAATAATTAATATAACAACCACAGACCAGTATTTAAGACCAAATTGTGTTAGCTGAACTTTGAGAACCCAGCTAAATGAGTCAGGGGCAGATTTAGGATTTCCTTCAGGGGGGTGCAGGTCTTTCTAGGAGGGTGTCCACACCACGCAATGGGAACACAAAATAGGTGGAAGTATTAAAGGGTACAGGGGCTCTTGAGGATGTGCATACTCCCTGCACCCCCCAGATTTATCCTCCCAATGTATACTGTATGAGCTGAAAACCTTATCTAAACTGGACCCTAAAACTAGAAGTGCAAAACATGAACTAGATTTGACTGAAAGTTTGCAAATCAAACAACAAAAACAAAAAAATAAAAAAACTTCCTCATGTACAAATATCTAATATACAACTCTGGATGTAGATACAATAAATAAATCTATTATTTGATAAGTTCTAGCTTGTCGTGACTACCATAGTTTCCACTGCCATTGATGGTCTTGACAGGTCTTGTATAAGGCTATCTCTACGCCAGCGAGCACGCTCATTTTTAAACCAAGTATTAACGTGTCTAAGGCTTACTGCTTCCCGTGTTTTCCTAAACTCAGAGTTGTTTAAAATTTCTGTAAATCTGCTCAGTTCTGCCATATTGGGTTTAGGGTCATTTTCATACCATGAACGCAACATTGGAATTTCATGAGCGGGACTAAAAACAATCTTCTTYCCTCTTTGTGTTGATATTTCAGGTTTTTTAGGTGAGAGTGAGTCTGGATCATCTTCATCGGCTAAGTTAGAGCGCTCATACCATGCACCAAAGTGCTTGATCTTGTCAGTTGACAGACGGCATGGATATTGATCACGTGAAATTTGAGATAACATACCCTAGGTATATGTAAAAAGAATAAGTTATATGTTGTCCAAGTTAATATAATACATGAATAAATCATAAATGGATGGATGGATGAATGAAAGTCTAAAGAAATGGATAATAGGAAAAAGATGGATGGAATCTGAAGATGAATGAGAGGTATATAAATGAAAGAATGAATTGTTAAATTTATAAATAGAAGCATGAAATAACATGTGAATAAATGAATAAGTAGATATAAAACTTATTGACCAATAAGTTAAAATAAAAATAAATTTTTTGAGTTGACAACATGGTACCTGTGAAAAAGGACATTGCATCCGTTCCAGATGTGTTTGACTATAATGTTCAAGAAGTTTCTTGATTGTATTACGAACTCGGTCTTCACTCCAATCTCTTCTAACAAAGAAATAAGAAAATCCAATGAAAAATGACTGCAAGTAAGCAAAACCCATTTTACATKTAAAAAGCAGTTGATTAYCAAAAGGAAACAGCTCTAATCATACTCACTCATGACACAGATGAACATGAATGCTCATCTGGGAATCTTTGACATGTAAGATTTCGCCAAATGCATCCTGTAGTGTGACATCTTGATTACTGTCATTTGTATAGTCAGAAAGTGGATGTGGCTTCCAATTGTCTCKCAGTTGAATGAAAACTACAAGATAAAAAATATCAACTGAAAATTAATGGATGAACAAATTAATAGGAATGGATAAATGGATGGACTAATAAATGGATGAATGAAGAAATAAAGTAAATTGACTGCTTAATGTACAGAATAATTCAGAACAAAATGGATGGMTTCGTATTATTTAAAACTTGTAATAAAAACATGCAAGAATGTCAAAGAACATGAACAAAAAACAAGTTCAAAAACAAACCTTTTTTGACAATATGCATCATATAACATAAACATGAATGTCTACTATTAAAGATGTAAAAGAACAGAAAGAAGTGCACAGCCGATTTAGAATTCTATAATAATTGAACTAAAATTTGGYAGAAATCTAGCACAGAAGAACATGAAAACAAAAGAACTAATATAGAAGCTTCCTTTTTATGTTAGGTCACAAAGACGATCTCTTTCAAAAACAGAATTCGCTTCTAATTAAAATATATAGCGGGAGAAAAAAAAATCACAGATTCTAAACTCAAACAATGGCAAAAGATACTAGAACAGCACCTGTAGAAAACAGATAAAAAATAGAACAGAAAAAAAAAGATTACAAGCGAATGTAATCATCAATAATTAGATCCACGGGTAAAGAAATGTTACATGCACATGTATTCATTCATTTTCAGATCTTTTGAAATCAATTACTTTCTTTTGAGAAAAGAATGAAAAGTTTTGTAATTGACAATGCACTCTAGTCGTGCGCGCGATCATCTATATTTCAGGGGTAATATAGGTCAGCGATAAATCATTGAAAATTAGTAGCCATGTTATTTTACGAATTTCTAAAGAATCAACGAATGCTTTCTAATGCGAAGTGTAAATTTGAAAACAGTAAAAAGTAGATATCATTTACTATAGTACTACTCACGGCAAAGCATAACTTCAGTCAGGTTAAGATTAATATACTCGCGCGCTCACAAAGCTTTTAGCATAACATAACATTAAAATATCAAATACCTTTTGCATTATCAGCTTTCAATATAATTTTTCCCTCGATCTCCCCTTTCTGGAACATATCGCTCAGTACATCTGCCGCAATCGAGGACAATAGAATGTTTGAAGGCAAATCGATCCCACTTCCCTGCACCAAGTTTGGAGTTTCTGTGCCGTCTTCATTGATAATCGGGTGATGGACGAACGAGCGGAATCGAACTCCGCCAGGATTTTCACCCATTTTAAGTTATTTTTGATCTCTAAGTCTCCCTATAAACGTTCTTTGAAGTCAACACGCATCAAAAATGGCGACTCTTTCAAAGAGAAGGCAAAGAACGTGTGATTAGGGATTATTTTCATCGACCAATGAGTTGCCGAGTTAGTGTGGAATCGACCAATGATTATTGAAAGTCATTATTAACAGATGTCACTAAAGATCATTAAGATTATTTTAAGCCAATAAGATACAAAGGAACTAGTGCTAGCTCGAATCCTTTGTCTTCTCAACACGTGTTGAAGAATAATAAAGCCAAATGATTATAAATATATTTATTTTTGTATAAATTTATTCATTCGTTTTGTGAAACCAAATCTGTGGCTTCCATTAATTAGAAAAACAGAAATGATGTGGGTCTAGATTGATTTCGCAAAATATCAAAAATAGATATTGTTTTCGATATATCAAAGGGTTTTGAATTTCAAAGAGATATAAATATTGAATGARTTTAATCTTTGAGAAAATATTTATACTCTTAGGGTACCCTGTGACGAATACCTCTTTTCAATCTAGGCTTTTTCTGTGTGAATATTTGGATATCTATATCCACTAGTAAAATATTACGTTTACATTCTAAATCGATGAGCTGCAGGAATAGTAATTTAAAAAGAGCCTGCATGACAAAACTACCACAGGCAGCCCAAGAAACTAAAACGAATTTTATATTCGTCGTTTAGTTTCCATTTAAGTTTACGCGCTTGTACTCTCGATATTTTGCAAATAAATAGAGGATATTACATGGGCACGCGGAGATACAAATTTTGTCTTCGAGTGTTCAATTGTTAGCGTAGAAGAACACTCGAAGATAAAATTCGTATCGCCGCGCGCCCATGTAATATCCTCTATTTATTAGATGACCACATCTTAGTGGCACAAAATGATACAAAATTCTTCTAAGCGCACAAGACACAAGAAATCGAGTTCCAGAGGGGTGTGGCTACATGAAGTTGTACTCAGTTTCGCTGAGAAAGCTCACGTGCTTTCCTCGAAAACATAACCGCAAAAAATGCTTTCCTCGCAAAAAATGGTTGAGAAATGAGCCAAAAAAAATCAAAAGATGATTACTCGCCCCCTCGCAAACGATAATAAATTACGCTCTGCACCCCCTACCCCCCCCCCCCCCCCCCCCCCCCTCCACTCCCGTGAATTTATTTAAGGAGTTGTCGCAAATCATGGCACGCTTTCCTTTATTAGAAGTTTTTCCACTTCAATAAGTATTTGGCCAAAAAGCACAGAATCTAACACCGCTGATTTTTCTTTTAGGCGTTGCCCCCCTCTTTAAGCACACCCCCCACGCCCCTTCCTGATAAATATTGCGCAGTCCTTCAGTTGGGAAGAAAATTCGTTAAATCCGTCGGTACGCGAGGCTGAAAAATATTTGTACTTCATGGAATAACTGGTATTTGATTAAAATCACTTTTATTACATTTATATAATCATTGAATAGCAATAATATTTCATTTTATGTAAAAAAATTCATGCAAAGTACAGCCTAACATTTAATCAAAAACTTCTCACCACTATTTCCTAAAAGTTAAAAGCATTTACAAAACAGTTTACACTTAAGTATTTATTACCCATTACGACAGCAATACTTTGATCTCCTTCCCTCCCCTCTCAGGAATTCCTAAGGGGGGACGGGTTCTTAGCTTTATGTCCTTGATATATCTTAGAATTAGACGTCACTGGATTTTTAAGTTCTTTATCTGAAATAAAAGCAAATCATATAAAAGATKAGTAAGACTTTATTTGGTCTATGACGTGATTCCCATCTTTCTGTTTTGGAGGAGACAAAATATAGGGATTCTGATTTTAAGCAGCAAAGCATGATTATAGGGATTCTGAT